GGACATCATTTGACAACGATGCTTTGCTATTTAAAGGGAAAAACGTTTCACACAGGTCGTCTTTGTATATATGCTGATATCTTAGTGTAGTGATTGGAAGGTTTTCCTACAGGTTCATGTCACAGATTGTGTGTTTCGGGGCAAACACTGATGGCATTACTGTAAAGGCAAGCGATTCTTTCTTATTCAACGCTAACTTGAAATACTTATTTACAGTAAAAAGTGGAAAAGTGTGTTTATGTGCAAGGACTGAGGTCTGTGTGTGTGCGTACAGTTTGTGTGCAATGCAGTACAGACTCAGCAGCTCTGTAAGGTTAATAACGGTTTCCCCTAGAAGGTTCCTCTTCTTCTTTCTGCTTCGCACCTCTTCCAATCAGTTGCTTTAAAACTAGGAAAAAATTCTATCATCTATTGATGCAGTCTTTCTCTGCTCTCGCCCTCACCCTCCAGTGCCTTTCACAAAATAAAATTGTGTGGTATCTCCTCTTTTTGACCCTTCATTTGGCAGACAAATGGGAAGAAATGTAAGCTTGTGCCTCTCTCCCCTGCTGTTTTGTTCTATTTTCTAATGTCAGTCTTTTTCTCCTCAAACCTTTACCCTTGTACAGATACTAAAGGTTTTTATTGATCTCCCATGAACCCCTTCTGACTTCAGCCTGATCCTTAAAGCTAAGCCTTTTCATGAAACACTGCACATTTAGTGTCCCACACACTCCAAGGTCACTGGAATTGTGTAGGGAGAAAGGCAGAGGAGTTTTTGTAGAGGCTGGTTTTAAAAAAAAAAAAAAAAAATTAAAGGTGCCCTGTACAGTTTTCTTGTAAACAAAAAAGAAAGTTTCTACTTACGGTCAGTATTACTGAATGCTTCTGTTCTGGAAGTTTAATAAAGGTATACATCATGGATTCCAAAATCAGTGATTTTAAGCAAATATTTTGGATTTGTTTAATACATTTAAGAAGTATTCAGTCTCCAAATGATGTTCATGGATTACAGCAAAAATGTGGCTTCTGTTTCTCTTTTGCACACAGACACATAAGTTTGCAAAACTCGTTCTGAGGCTTCACGTGCCTCTGTAAATGTTTTAAGGAGCTGAGGTGAAGTGACTGTGCAGGAAGGTCTTTGAAAATCAGCACTCCTTGGTCTTCTTTGGTTCTCAGGCGGTGCAGTAGGAATCTTTCTACGCAAACATGCAGAGGCCTGAAGGATCAAGCACTGCTTGGAGTTCAGTGCAGCTCTCCAGCTCTAGAGCAGCAAATACTGCCAGACTTAAATATTCCCACTACCTCCTGCTTGTCTCCTGTCATATAGTACCACATTCTGTTTACTACCACAAATCTAAAACTGAATTCATCAGCAAAAATAACTTTTTTTCCAGTCATCCACTGCGAAGTGCTGATTTGTGTTCTCTCCTGAGAAGTGGTTTAGACGCATTCCTCATCCTCTGGGACCACAGTGTTGTTTTGACAGGATTTTTACTTGTTAGAGTTTTTGTCTCTTGATTTAGCTAATTACATATCTGCTGTAAAGTTGCTGTAGCATCTTTTAACAAAGCAGATATAGAGATTTACACTTCTGGATACAAGTGATTTCCATAAAGCATGTTAGAGTGCCGTGCACTGACTCCCGGAGGAACCATGTGTCGTGCTGTGATTTGATGCTGAGAAATCCCTTCTTTGCTGAGAACAACAGTTTGACTTCTGACATGTTGAGGGGCCCACTATCTCCATGCTGCTTAGTAAGCAATGTTTGGCTGGAAATGTGAAGACACATATTTATACCAGGTAAACAATGGCTGCTATTTGATTTATATGGAAAAGCCTCTCAGTTTTTATCCAAAAGATACTTCAGTGGACGGGATACAACTCAAGGGAATCTGACTTTTTATTTGGTTTGCTCCACTGATGAGATTACACTTTACTACTGACATAGAATCAGTGTACCAACCTTAATAGTTCCTTTTTTTATGTTTGTTTACATTGTTTCCTTTATTTCCACACCGAAAATCTGTCATATTTTCTATGGGGTTCTAGACAATTTGACTTCACACGTTTTCTTCCTCATGTAATCCCTGTATCCGATTCACTAATATTTATTCATTTAAGTGGTGTTTTTAAAGATTCAGAGCTGGAAGCAAGATACAAGAAGTGTGGCCTTGTAGGTCAGCAACAAAAGCCAGTGGGATTTGTGTGTAGCATTTTGATTTAATGCAGAAATAAGCAATTTTTTTTAAGTTAATGATATTTACGGGTTTTCTTCAGCAAGAAAATCTCAACACACTGAAACTTTTAGGATTTTTGAAGTGCAAAGGCAGTTGGAAAAAGCTATACGAGCTACCACATGTATGGTACGTATGCACCAGTCAGGCACGACATTTAACCACCTGCCTAACATTCCCAGCAGAACATTTCCCAAAGCATCTTCCATTTTTCCATTATCCAGTTCTAATGCTCACCTGCCCATTGTTGGCACTTTAAGTGGTGGACGGGGGTCAGCACGGGCACCCTGACCGGTCTGCAGCCCCATATGCAACGATTTGTGATTCACTGTAAATTCTGACACCTGTCTATCACAACTTTTCTGCAATTTGAGCTCATCTCTTGGACAGGACCATACGGGCCAGCCTTTATTCCCCTCGGTGATCTTTAGCCCCCCATGATCCTTTTGCTGGTTCATTGTTCCTTCCTTGGACTTTTGATAGATATTGACCACTGCAGGCTGGGAACACCCAACAGAGCTGCAGTCAAATCTAATACATCTGTTTGAACAACCTTGTTCACTTGTTCCCTGATATATCCCACCAACCAACAGTATTCACTTCACCTGTCAGCGGACATAATGTTATGCCTGATTGGTGTATATGTACATGTCATTGTCACTGCCATTGAGCTTGTGTGTTTAGCTTGATCATGTTGAAAGTCCATGACAACTTCTGTAGTCTATTGTTAGAAAATGTCTTCGCAGAGACACAAAAAGCTTAGAAATTCACACTTATGTCACAATGTAAAAGAAAACATGAAGAAATGGGTTTATTTCAGGCATCTAACCAAATAACAGATGGTGGAAAAGTGTGCAAATGCTAAGTCATTGTCGGGTTTAGGATTTATGCATGAAGCACTCTGTTGTGTGTTTGTCTTTAAAGAGTCTTTCTACTCCGCTTTTCTACTGTTCCAGTCATTGTTGAGGTTTTACCAAATTTGGTCAGACAATGGCCCTACGTCATAAACAACCCCTGTTGTTTCTGATAGTGTATCAGTTTGAAATATTCATTGGCCATTCTCTCACTCTATCTCACAACTGTCCTCAGGGGAACAAATCACTAATGATCCCTTTTTTTCAGCCCAGTTCACTGCACTGTAATACTGCTTTCAGCTCCCGTTGCTACAGTAATCCTAGTAAACAACCATACTCCATTTGTCCCAACATCACCTACACGAAACCTCAGAATCAGGCTGATGGATGTCGATGATTCTAATGAAAATTCGTCCCTACTTGGTTTATTTTGTATCCATTATGTGAGGAGTCAATTTTTAAAAATTAATATTATTATAGCATTATTCCTGATGCTGATGGTGTTCTCACAGTAGATTGTATTTTTAGAGAAGTGTAGCATTTTTGAGGATGATGAATTCTTTCACTCCAGGTTATATCTCTTAGTGAGTTCTACCGGTTGAGGGGTTAAGGCAAGGATGTCAAACTCGTTTTACATCGTGGGGCGCACAAAGGCTACTTTGATCTTAAGTGAAACTACTACTACCCTTGCCCCAACCGTCCCATAGTTATGAAATATAAATTTTAAATTTTAAAAATGCCCATTTTATTTAAATTATTTTGGTGTAGTATGAATAGGAATTGACGGCAGGGGGAAAGCTGTGTGACCTATGAAAATGAAAAGTCTGGGCACTTTTTCACATTTCCAAGACCTGTTCAGTGGCCAGACTAGAGCCTTTGCCTGTTCAATTCTGGCCCCCGGGCCAGGTTAAGGGTTCATAGCATTCAAAGCATTACTTGATACTGCCTATCTAACTGATACTAATTCTATGCATAAGGGCTTCCAAAATCACCAGTGTGAACGCATAACACAGTACTCACGATTATAACGATGTGAATTATTCAGTGATCATTGAACTATAGAAAATATCAGTCAAACAAGAGTGTAAGAGTTACTTTCCCCTGACACATCGGAGCGTCTGCTGCTCTGACCTCAGAGAGTCTTGGCAATACCGACTCCCATCAAAAATGTATTTTATTGATCCAAACCTTGTGTCACGAAAGTATCAGTGTCAGCTTGATGGTTAGACTCCATGTGTTCTGGGACTGCAGTTGCCCCATGACGTGCACCTCTTCTTATAAAACCCTCTCACATGGGTGTTCATATGGAGCTGCGCTTTCATCCCCCCTGCAGTCCTCGGAGGGCCTGCGTGTGCTCTGGCACTGTGCGTTTTAGCAGATCACTTTGTGCAGCAGCTCGAGTTACACGGAGCTTCGGAGTGCTCATGAGTATCTCTTTCACAGCTGTATTGTTGAACAGCTCAGTAAGCTCAGTGTGTTTGAAGGGGCTTTACACAGATTCAGTGGGAAAGCCATGAAGAAGGATTCGCTGACACACAAACACATTTGCAACAGTGCGCCTTCCCACAGTCCTACCACTGAGAGGTCCACAGTTGGAGGTGTTGTGGTACAGAATGGGGGAGCTGCGTGATGCTCAAAGCATCAGTGCATCCTCCACCTCACTATCATCCTCCTCTCCGGTTTTTCAGCTGTTTTTTTTTCTTTGTAGATCTGTCTCTCGGCATCACTTTCTGCACCGTCTTCACAGAAATCTCATCTCGCTTAAACGCACCCACACGCACACAGACTCTCTCTTGTGTACATGCACACAATCACAAGCAGATATTCAAATAGGTCCAGACACACACTTACATATGCAGACACACATTATTCAGCTAATGTCTGTGTCTGTGAGAGCCTCTGGTTAATAACTGTTTGTTCTCCTTTGCAGATGCTGGCTCAGGATCAGGAGACGATGGTAAGATTACTCACCTCTTCCTCCTCCACCTCCTCTAACTCCTCACATACTGCTTTTTAATATGCTGCTCTCTACCTGCTGTGTTCCACAGCACTGTATTTATTATTGAGTATGAGGGGCTGACTTCAATGTATTTTAATTTCATAATATGATAAACCAATTAAAAACATGTTCTCTTAACATCATTAGCTTCACTTGTTATTTTATTCACGCTAACGTTTAATCTAATTGAATTCATGTACTAAAGCAAAACTTTATTTATAAAGCATATTTCATACCAGACAATTTGCTACACAAATGCACTAGCATCAAGACTGTAGCATGAGTATATACATAGATTAAATTAATAGAGAGATAAAACCAAGTGAATTAATAACATCTAAAGATGCAATAGTCAGCTGGTCTGGGATTATAAGCCAATGCACAACACACGCACAGTGGCATATGCAAATACTTATACACACACACTCACAGCCACATGCTCACATGTTGTTGGCATGGAAATGCTTTGCTGCGAGTGACGACACCGTTCACCAGACTTCACTAAAATAGACTGGAGGAACACAAATAGACAAGAAAACTAAACACCTGAATAACGCTCACACAGGTGAACTGGACATTTTAAAGAAGCTAACAAAGGCAAAGTGGCTAGCAGGTCACTAGCAGCTCATATCTATCAAAATCCTTATGAAACTTCTGTCAGCGATGAAAACCAAACGAGAAAAAGCAACAGTAATATGTAAACATCATTAAAAGGCACAAAATTAATAAAATAGTAAATAAAAACCAACAATACAGCAATAAAAATGATTAATAAGACCGGGGACTGAACTACTGCAAGGTCCTAACAAATGTTTGATTGGTACCTGATGAGTAACCAGGTGGTGCGTTCCTGATGACCTGCAGTAACGGGCTGGTTCAAAGAGCTTGTCAGAGAGATCCTACATGTAAACATGCAGGGACTATAGTGTTTTATTAATAAACTCTTTGTTAATAATTGTTTCTTGGGAAACAATTATGGGATATTATAAATGACCATCAATTATTCAATAACTTTCAGCAAACAGGGTCACTTCTGCTGATAAACTTAAAAAGGATTAAGTGCTAATTTTGAGCTGCCTCTAGCTTTGTGTAGTGTTTTAGGCTCTTTTAGCTCATTGTTTTGGATTGATGGCTTTGATTTGCACTCAACCTGCTCATCCCTGATTATTTATTTATTTAATGCAACAAGTGGACAAAAGTGAGTATTTTTAACATGCAGAGTAAACTTTTACTGGTAATGCATTGTAATCAAATAGCCATTCATGTATGGGAAACTGTGAGTTTACATAACGTGATGGGTGCTAACAAACACAGATAAAGATGAAGGAAGTGATGTTGCCAGCATGTGTTTTATCTTTTGTCCTTTTGTCAAAACTAGACTTTTGTGAACAGGCTGTTCTCACAGCTGCAGTAAAAGATCATGTGACTGCAGCAGAAAATACATTTAAAACACAGAACAATTGGAATTGTAACAGATTTTCAATCACAACTGATTTTTTTCAAGTCTAAAAATTTGCATAATGTCCTAAAAAACTGGGAATTATTTGAAAAATTGAAAGTGTTTTTTTAAGCAAAAGCCCAGAAATTACACAATTCACCTTTCTAATCTCACGCTGATTCATTTGACTACTTTTTTGTGCAAATTCGACATTGAAAGCCAAGATTTGCAGAGACGGCATGCTGGAGAAAGTCCTCATTTAGCTTTGTGTGCCCATCTTCACGAAGCCGAGTGAAAGGGCGGAATGGTGGCCTGGGCAGCATTGCAGCTGATAAACAGTGGAGTTTGGAGAGAGAGTGACAAGTGTGTGAGAGTTGATTGCAATAAGATTGAGATGAGCTTATAGCCATGAGTGACTTTTTTATGAATAACTTTTGTGTAACTAATCACATAAACCCCCACCGTATTAATAACGTGTCTTTGAGCTAAGTCTCTAATTTGTTCCTTAATTGACTAACAAGATTCAACTCTAACATCAGCACAGACAGTAGTCAGGCTCGTCTGTCAGAACACGTTTGTACCCATGCATATATTTACACTCCCCACTCTGCAGCCTCTCTATCCTCCCGTGTGTTTGCCCATGCAGTTACTTCATTAACTCCGATGCATGGAGCTTTCCCAAGCATATATGAGAGGGAGAGAGAGATTGAAAAAGAGATTAGTGCCCCCCAAAAAGACGGCAGATAGACGGATGAACAAGCGGAAATGAAACTGGTGCTAGGTCAACCAGAGAGAGAAAGCGAGAGAGGGAAAGACAGATAGAGAGGAAAGATGGGGGTGGACAAAGAAATGGCCTGGGGAAAGTCGCAAAATAGATAACAGAGCAGAGGAAACAGACGGCGAGTGGTGTAGAGATTGAGGGAGAGGACAGACAGCCCTAAGAAGCAGGAGGAAGGAGGAGCAAAATGAAACATACATTTTTATGCATGTCCCGTGAACACAATGTGCTTACACTTGCATGGGATTAAAGGGAAAAATGGCACGGCCAGTACCATCGTGATTTGTTTGTAATGCCATGCATGCTCGGTCTATCTCTGAGCTCCGTTGTATAGACGATCACACTTCCTCGGGCTGTTTTTCGGCATTTCATTGCAAGACACCACCATAAAATCTGCAGTGAAAGAAAGCAGTCAGAGGGTTTCTTTTCCCATAATGCTCTCGGTGCCTTACAAGAACCGAAATAGCACAGAAGAGAATTCAATAACAAAACCGCGAATTTTTAGTCCTATAACACTAAGAACTCTGAATCTGAAAAGCTGCACTTCAGTGGAAATTGGAAGGAATAGCTTATGTTAGTTTGCTCTAATTTACAGAACTATTATTCCACCCAAACCCAGCGCTTGTTTACAGTAGTACATATATTATTTCTAGCCATAAAAGTCAGGTTAAAGGTGGCAAATGTTTTAGTTCACACGCCATTTACAGACCAATTTGATCAAGCTGGCTGGAACAGTAAACCACTGCATAATAATCCATAACGAAAAGTGTTTGGGTGCAAATTAGCACTTTCTGAAAACATTCACCTTTAATGAACCGTTTAATTACAAAAAAGACTAACAGCATGAGATGTCTCAAGAAAAAAAAGTGCAGTTTCAACAGTATGTTTTAGTTTTCCCAGCCAGCCTGCTGTCATTACCAAGACTCTTTGTAAAGAGAGTGGCTCTTTGGCTTCAGCACCTTATTGCTGCGCGGTATGGCAGGAATGGCTAATGTCTTTTTCAGTAAGAGGCTCTAACCTGACAGCAATTCAGAACTCTGGCTCAGGTTAAATTTACAGTTGAGGCAACCACTCAGATCCACTAATGCATTCTTACACAACACAAAGCTTCCTGGTGCAAAACACAGTGCAAAATCCCCAAAAAGTAATGCTCTCCTTCTGTGAGTTTTTAGACTTTTCAATGAGCCAAATTGGACCCCTTGCTGGTCCAGGTTCTAGCCTGCAGGTCATTTGTTTGACACCTCAGTTGACTAACGTTAGCCTGGAGTTGTGCTACAGGGCTTTAATCCGTTTTTCAAAAGCATTTCTCTTGCAATGCCATCAGAGACATACAGTGTTTGACAACTATATTGTCTGCAGTGAAAAATAACGGCCAGATCCTCCGACTTCTGGATTTTACTTATTTATTTACACATCCATTAAGCGCAGAGTCTGCCGACTTCTTTTACCTCATTCAGTAAGTGCATGTTTAAAATTAATTTTACTTGTGGTAAAATCAGTCTGCTTGAAAACATTAAAAGGTCAGCGAGTTTTCAACCAACACATCATACAAATAATTTGTTAGACAGTTATTTATGTTAGTCTAAAGATGAAGAAAAAAAAAATCTTACCGATGCTGCGTAACATCTGAATAACAAAAAAGGACTGATTTGTTGCAGTTGCAGTCACAGGAGATATGTACAAAGTGTTCTCGATCAGTGACACTTCATATTTAAATGCACTGGTCTGCGTCATCATCATGCAGGTAGCGAGAGGTGAATATTTGAACCCAGATTATGACCTTTTTTAGAACTAACCAGGTTGTTTTTGGTGCCTATAGCAAACCGAGCAGTGAGTGGAAGCTAAACAAACAGCAGTGTTCTGGCTGAGCAACTGTGGCCGGTGTATCAAGGTTTTAATGCCAAATGACACCTACTGACTATCTGCAGCTTTAAGCCAAAGAGCAGTGCTGTGATAGCAACAAACTGATGCAACTGCAGACTGAATAGTTTACTTATTTTACATGTTTTATCTAAAGTTTAAGTATCATAAAACAGAAAAATAATACTCCACATGCTTCACGTGTCCTTCAAAATAGTTACCCAACAGGACATCACTCCATAACATAGCACGACATACAGACTGCTACAGCGGGCTTTAAAAAGCTAATAAAAAATCTCATAAAATTCATGTGTCATCATGAAAAAAATAACAGTATCCCAGCCAAACCTACAGGAATGATTAGTGTAGCATCAGACGATCAAAAGGTGAAAGGTATAGAGTCATCGTTCACCTATTTCTTTAAGTGAGACAGATTTTCTCTGAATATCTTCATGAAAGCTCATTATAAATGTTCACCTTCCAAGACCCCTGGGCGGTTTAAAGTAGAAGGCTGAGAATTGTCCTCACTCTCAAAATGTCAGATAAATCTGACGAATCGATCATTCAGGAGGAAAAGAGACAATTAAGAAAAAATAGCTCAAGGGTGGAGAGGGTATTTGCGCAGTAGAGGAGGAAGAAGGGAAAGAAGAGGGCAAGGACAGGAGGAGGAGAAACACAAACACACCCTATAAAGATAGAATCATAGCAGAGGTCACAATAGATGGAGAGATACAGTAGGAGAGATGGAGGGGAGGGAGGAGTGGGATCTGCCAGAGGTGGAAGAAGATGCTGGTGTTTTATGAGCAGGGGAGAAGGTTAAAGCAAGCGGTTGTAAAAGACGGCTTGGACTTGTAAGAAGTCAGCAGTAGAGAGCCATCTCAG